AAAAAAAAAAAAAAAAAAAGGAGCCATATTTTCAAAAGTTCCATTTCCAGCCCCAAAACTGTCTTTGATTCTGTTCTCCTACTTGACAATCAAAACCTGAAATTTACCTCATTAGGTGTCTTGGTCAACTGAACCAAGAAGCCAAGGACAAAAATGAGATGTCCTGTGTGGCACCTGAACCCAGTGACCTACTGGTTAAATTTATAATCCAGCTAAATTAGCCATGAGGGTGTGGCAACAGGACTTGATACTGTTTCATATTACCTTTGTGCATTCAGCCACATCATCTGACTCACTTCTCTGGTTCTCTTTGTTGATCCATGACAGTCATGGAAACCCACTGAAGGATCCCGTTACCTCTCTCTTTGAAAGATCCCTCTCTCAAGTGTTGGCTTGCCTGGTACCTATAAGGTTACCTCTCTTGCCATGGTTGGGAGTAAAAGAAATGTTCTGTCCTGGGCAGACTGCACTTCCAAAACAGCTTTTACACTTCGGGCTTGAAATCCTGGAGTTCTTTATAAGTCTTAATTAAATTTCACTCGCTAAATGAAATTGCAGAGTACCGGGCAAATAGTGGTACACTTGATTGATGTATTGTTTAGTAAACACCATGAATGAGTCAAAGAACATTAGCAGTCAGTATTAAAACTCAGTATTTGTTGCCTGGGATTTCTAGAACAGTGGTTGTTAAATGGAAGATATGGTGAGGACTGAGACTTTTAAAAGAACACGGCCTTTGCCAAAGCATGTGTTCTCTTCTCTTCCTGGAACAAGATATTGCTAGACCCCACACCTTCACCCCCTTCTCACCCTCCTTCACCAGAACTGTATTGAGGCCATTTGCGTAGGTGGAAAAGTCCACAGGTGAGTTGGATATTTGCTCCCCACTCTTCTGGAGCTGTCTGAGCCTGGTACTTGCCTTGCTCAGTTCCTCATTTCAGCATTTTTAATACTTAATAACCCTTCTAAAGCAAGCAATTATTTGGCAGCTTCCCTAAGAATATCTGCTATAGGTTTTTCTGTCTGTCTGATGAACTTCCATTTACTAAATTGAAAAGTTGTTGTCTGAAATGTTTTTCAGGGGACAAGCCTAAGGTTCTGATGAGGCAAAGCGGGGTCATGGGGTGTGAGAGGAGTTGGCAGTAATTTTCAATTTACTTAATTCATCTTTAGTGTTTTTGCCATCTTAAGTAATTTTTCTTCTCTAAGATTTTAAGACACATTTGCTTTGAGTTCCTGCCTAATTTCAAACCCAGTGATGTTTTTGAATTCTCCTATTAGCCCTCCTCCCTTTGCCATAAGTTTCTTTTTCTTTGAACTAAGGAATGTAGACTTTCTAAAATTTAATCTTGATCAACACCCAACTCACCTGTTGGATGAACCGCCTCATCTTTCAGATTAGAAAACCACCGTCTCTTGCCTGAAAGGCAGAGGGCAGTTGATTTCTACAATCAACCTGGCTTCCCTTTGATTTTGTAATCTGTTTCTAGCGATTACGGATGAGCTTTGCATTCCAAGACTCTGGGCCTGTCAGCTTTCGAGGCAAAAAACTTTGAAGCAGATCCTCTGCCTCAGGTTTCAGAAGGGCGGCCTTTGCGTTAAAGGATGAAATTAATTTGTTTTCTTCTTGTTGTAATATAAAGGAAACATGAATAATTATCACTGCTGGCATCGTAACGCCCCGGGGCTTTTATTTGCTCACTTTATTTTACGAGTTTTAAAATAATTATTGTTTGTTTTTGAGAACCCTCATCAAATCACGTGGAAACCTGAGAGAAAAGCACAATCTTTTCAGAAATCTTCACTGAGCATAGCAATCTCTGGAACCTGTCTATTGTATATTTATTTTAAAATGACTTAATCTTCCCATTGATGCACTTGGTGTAACTAGGAAACACTCCAGCTCAGATTTAAGAGGTGGAAGGGAGAAAGAAAGAATGCAGGGCAATTCCCAAGAATTCCGTGTTCTTAAACACTGTGCACGTTCAAGTACTAATTATACAGGACTTAGGCAAGAAGCGGGTTACGTGGAATTGTTTCTGCATATGTTAAAACTTACAAGCTAACATTATCACTAAAACCTTTTTTTAAAATAAAGATACCTCATGGCCAGGCACGGTGACTCACACCTGTAATCCCAGAACTTTGGGGGGATCAAGGCTGGCAGATCACCTGAGATCAGAGTTCGAGACCAGCCTGATCAACATGGAGAAATCCCATCTCTACTAAAAATACAAAATTAGCTGGGTGTGGTGGCACATGCCTGTAATCCCAGCTCCTCGGGAGGCTTAGGCAGGAGAATCGCTTGAACCTGGGAGGCAGAGGTTGCAGTGAGCTGAGATCATGCCATTGCATTCTAGCTTGGGTGACAAGAGCAAAACTCTCTCTCAAAAAATAAATAAATAAAATAATAATAATACAGATCTTTCTATACCATTCATTGTTGTAATATTATATGGTTCAGTAATATTTACATGTATCACCACAATTTAAAAAACATAAAGTGCACATGAGTATTATTGATAGAAGCTGTACTCCTTCCACACATACCTAGTATCCCTACTGGGCTACTGAAAAAGTGTTTTTTTCTTTTTTTGGTAGAGATGAGGTCTCTCTCTGTTACCCAAGTTGGTCTTAAACTCCTGTCCTCAAGTGATCCCCTGCCCTCAGCCTCCCAAAGTATTGGGATTACAGGCATGAGCCACTGTACCAGTCCCTGAAAAAGCTATTTATCAAGGCCCAGAACTCCAATTTTTCTTTGGGGTTTTAAAGGATGGAAAAAAAAAAAAAAGATGGAAAAATGATAAATTAGAGTTCCTCAAACTTCAACATAAATTAACGGAATTTTAGTCTTCAAAGCATTTGCTGTAACTGATTTTTAAGGCCTCACGTTTTATCTATAATAGTACAAATATGAACTCAACAATGTGCCATTAACTCAGAAGTGAATTTATATTTGTAATAATATTTGCATTGTGTTTATACTGGGGTAACTGTACTACAACACAAAGGAAAAAAAAATATTCCAGGAAAACACTCAACAAATGAATCTAGGAAAATCTGCAGAGTGCTTAAAAATGAACTTGCAGACATAAAAATTGTTTATTTAGAAGCTGTCTGAATGTTTAGCCTCAAAGTCATTCCCGTTTCTTCCTGAATACTGCTCTCTAAACAAAATCCCTCACCACAGCTAGCTATTTAAAACACACACACACACACACACACACACACACACACACACACACACACACACACACACACACACACACACACACTGGTTTCCCCTTAATTCTCAGTGAGTCTCTCCACACCCCCAACTTTCCCCGGCAATGGTATGATCTGCATTTCATCGTAAACTGGAGGTGCCAAGCTGTGACAGCTTCCTCAACTTCAGAGCCATTTGCTACAACCTAGGACAGCCCCATGGTCAATGATGCTTTCCTTTTTCACCAACAGGGGCAAATCGAAGTAGACAGCGAAACTGTCTTCAAGTTAGCAGCGTTTATTTTACAGGTAAGACTGGACAAACTGCCTCTTAGCAGCTAGCTCCCTTGTGTTTGTTCGTTTTTGTTAACTGCCTGCAACTCTGAAACTTTTGCATGGACCAGTACCTGCTGGATGTTTAAGTCAGCTAGTTGTTTGCCAATGAAAAAATGTGAGCCATCGTCTTCTCCTTTTAGAATAGTTTGCATGAGCTACAATGTGATATTGTGTGTCTCAAAGAAAAATGAAATTTAGACTGCTCTGAAGGAAAAGAGTTAAAACCATATTCCTGGAAGAGCGCTCTGAGATACTTGAATTTGGGAGACAGCAGTTGTTACAACAGCTGTAATTTTCATGTAAATTTAGTAACTTTTATATACATTTTCTTGGGGTCCAGTAAAAGAGTCCTTTAGTTCTTAAAGGCATTAGTCAGTTTCCATGCTGGTTTAAAAAGTAAAAAGAAAACAAATAGTATGTGTTGGTTTACCTGTATTGTGGTTTAAAAGGTCTTCCTCCAGTCTAAAAAGTGTGCCACTTGAATGAAAAGCATTTATCATGGGATCTTAAAAACGTACAGCAGGAAATAATTATGTGTGCTTTATATATGTTTGCTTCTTTTGTTAAGAATAAGGAATAGTCCCAACAGGACAGTCAGTGTTTCCCTGCCAATGCCTAATTCTTCTTATGGCTACAGGGAGTGTGTTCCTGAGAAACACTCTTCAAAACAAAACTCAGGGACTTTAAGAGGGGAAAGTAATTAAGATAAAACTCATTTAGCTTAACAAAAATACATATTGATCAACTATTTTTTGTTTTTGTTTTTGTTTTATTTTAGGAAGCCAAGGGAGATTACACCAGGTAATGATTTTCTTTTCTAATATTACTATGCAAAATAACCCTGCGGTTCTATGCTGTTATTTTAAATAACAATGGATACAAAATCAAAGGGAAGTCGATCTCTGAGGCAGGAGACTGAGATCTCTTCGCTCTTCAAATAGAGACCTATTCTTTTTGTGAATGAATCAGGGAATTACGCTTTCTTACAGTTTTTCAAGCCAGAATGACAGCGAATTGTAACCAGAAGCTCTCCAAAGTTCTGTTTTCTGTCATCTGTTAATTAGTGAGATGAAGAAATCTATAAAAAGCTTTGATAGCTTCTGCTGATTAAAAAAAAAAAAAAACTTACAATAATCTTGTGTTTGAAGAGTTATAACGTATGCACAAAAAGATTAAATCCATCAGCTGCTTAGTTAAGGGATTAATAGGGGCTTTCTTTCACAGCTGCCCCGAAGGGGCCTCACCCTTCATACACTTGACCTAACAGTTGTATTGTTGCTGCAGAGACACTTGCTGGTTCTAACTGCCTCACTGGCCACATGCACAGAGTGTTTATATTCGAATTCACCCTCTACCTGCTCTATTCTTCCTTTTAATGCAATCGCTGGAGTTGTAGAAACGGTTAAAGGGTGGAGGCTGTGCTTCCCTCTGTAGGCCTATGATCCCTTTGAAAGCCCGGCTTCTACGACGTTAATGTTCCACTCGGGATAGACGTTACTCGTAGATTATTTACAGATCACCTAGCACCCGTTCCCAGCCAAGTCTTTGAATAATGTGCCACTTAATGGACCAACAAAATAATGCCTTCCAATCTTGACGACTTCCAGTTATGGAGTTGTGCTTCGCTTCAGAAACTCCCAACACTCTCCTCATCTGCCCATTTGGTTTGGTAGAATGTTCAAGGATTCCACTTAAAACACCTTGATTCCTCACCACAATCTCTCATCAGTTCTGTTTTGTGCCGTGTGTGTGTGTGTGTGTGTGTGTGTGTGTGTGTGTGTATTCACATTTTTCTAGGTTAAGAAATTATGAAAATCAAACACCAATTGTTTTTAATGGACAGAAAAGGGCAGGAGATTAAAAATGAGGATAATGTAGTTTATAGATCATTAGTATCATTAAAGGCTCATGCCTGAAGCCTAGCGTGGTGGCTCACGCCTATAATCCCAGCACTCTGGGAGGCCGAGGTGGGAAGATTACTTGAGGCCAGGAGTTCCAGACCAGCCTGGCCAACATGGTGAAATCCTTTCTCTATTAAAAATATAAAAATTATGAGACTGAACATAATCAGGAGAGAATAACAAAAATAAATAAGTAAATAAAAAATAAATAAAAATTAGCTGGACATAGTGGCAGGAACCTGTAATCCCAATTACTCGGGAGGCCGAGGCAGGAGAGGCTTGAACCTGGGAGGCAAAGGTTGCAGTGAGCCGAGATCATGCCACAGCACTCCACCCTGGGTGATGGATGAAGTGAGACTCTGTCTCAAAAAAAAAAAAAGCTGCTATGTTTGTACTGTTGTCTTTCCCAGAGAAGCCACATTTCCTTGGAATATCAGATATGCAAAGAACACAGTCATTTATGGGGGTGATTTTTGAAAAACAACCCTAGATTGAAAAAATCATATGGAGGTAATTCTGAAGTCAATTTGTAAATGAGGGGTTCAGGGCCCAAAAACTCACACTCGGTGGTCTGTGGATTGCTGCTAATCCACCTTCCCCTACTTAGCCCCAGTAAAGCCCTCTGACTGACACCCTCTGAGCCTCAGTCTCCTGATCAGTAAAATGGTGCCTTTCCCATAAAACTGTTGTGAGAATTAAATGTATGTAAACATTGCCCAGGACACATCTGGCATATAGCAAGTGCTCCATACCCTTTGGCTAAGTTATTATTAACTTAGTCATTATTATCCTCATTACTATTATCCTGGTCTCTTAGCTACCTCTGATGAGACTTTTGACACTAAGGTTGGTCTGAAGAAGCTGTACTAACCTATACTAGTTGTGGGGGAGGTGGAGAATAGAAAAAGAAAGGTTAATTTCACAAACCTCTTAGGGAAGATCCCTTGCCTGAGGCAAAGGAAGGCTTAAAAGGGACAGTCCTTCAGTTGTTCAAACATTTTAGCCCTAGGACATCAATGTTGGGGAGTTAATTCTGGGCAAGCCCAGTCCAGACCTCTGCCTTCACTTGAGCTTCTTCCTGGTTTTCCTGAGTGATCACAGGGCTGCCGTGGTGCACACTGTTTTGAAATTGTCCAAACTACACTAAGTGGCGGAGAAGGTGTGGGACTGGAAATCACGCAGACTGGCAGCATTCCTCTGAGTGGACACTTACCCTTTCTGAGCCTTGGGGTTAATGAAAACAAAAGCTTTGCAGGTTGATTTTGAGGAGATGTGGGAGGACTTTGTAAATTACCATGTTCTTCCTATCTGATCTTCTCCTCCCCTGAATAGAGAGGATATGTTTTTCCACCAAAGTTTTACTCTAAAAGTTCTCTTTGTTTTTGTTTACTTTTGAAACAGAGCCTTGATCTGTCACCCAGGCTGGTGTGCAGCCAGCTCACTATAACCTCCGCCTCCTGGCTCAGTCAGTTCTCTCATCTCAGCTTCCTGAGTGGCTGGGACTACAGGTACACACCATCACACCTGGCTAATTTTTGTATTTTTTGTAGAAACACGGTTTCACCATGTTACCCAGGCTGGTCTCAAACTCCTGGTCTCAGCTGATCCTCCTGTGTTGGCCTCCCAAAGTGCCAGGATTATAGGTGCAAGCCACCGCACCCTGCCTTGTTATAAAACTCTTTTTAAAAAATCAAGTGCTGGGCACAGTGGCTCAAGCCTGTAATCCCAGCATTTTGGGAGACTGATATGGGTGGATCACCTGAGGTCAGGAGTTCGAGACATGCCTGGCCAACATGGTGAAACCTGGTCTCTGCTAAAAATAGAAAAATTAGCAGGGCATGGTGGCACATGCCTGTTGTCACAGCTACTTGGAAGGCTGAGGCAAGAGAATTGCCTCAGGAGGTGGAGGTTGCAGTGAGCTGAGAGGGTGCCACTGCACTCCGTCCCAGATGACAGAGCGAGACTCTGTCTCAAAAAAAAAAAAGAAAGAAAATCAGGCAAGGCCATGTACAACCTGTAATCCCAGCATTTTAGGAGGCCGAGATGCGTGGATCACTTGAGGCCAGGAGTTTGAGACCAACCTGAGCAACATGGCAAAACCCTGTCTCTACTAAAATTAACAAGTTAGCCATGCATGGTGGCACACACCTTTAACACCAGCTACTGGGGAGGCTAAGACACGAGAATCGCTTGAACCCAGAGGTGGAATTTGCAGTGAGCTGGAGAGCACACCACTGCACTCTAGCCTGCGCAACAGAGCAAGGCTGTAAAAAAAAATAAAGAAAAGGAAAGAAAGAAAGGCAAAATAAAATACCATGGAAGGAAGGAAGGAAGGGAGGGAGGGAGGAAGGGAGGGAAGGAGGGAGGGAGTCGGGTAAAATAAAATACCATGCAAAATAAAATACCATGAGGCAATGTCGTAGTGGTTAGAGCAAAGACAGGAACCAGACAGCCTGATTCAAATGGCAGGTCTGCTACTTATTACCTGCGTAATCTTGAACAAGTTACTTAAAATCTCCAAACCTGTTTCTTCATCTGTAAGATGGGACTTACAATTATAATACACGCTCCACAGGATTGCTGCGAGGATTAAACGAATTAATACTGCATTTATAAAGTACTCAGAACAGTTCCTGCAATCCATTTTATTTTATCAAATTGATGGACATGATGGACTCCCCTGTTGTTACAAATATTACTTGTTTCCCATACAAATAATGGGAAAATATATGTTCATCATGGCATTATTTATATTAGCTTTTTTTCCCCCATAAAGCTAATATAAATAAAACCGTGATGAATATCTACGTGTATTTAGTTTTAGTCTTGCTTTGTCACCCAGGATGGAGTGCAGTGATGCAATCTCGGCTCACTGCAACCTCTACCTCCCAGGTTCAAGCAATTCTCCTGCCTCAGCCTCCTGAGTAACTGGGATTACAGTCACACACCACCATGAGCAGCTAATTTTTGTATTTTTAGTAGAGACAAGGTTTCACCATGTTGGCAAGGCTGGTCTCGAACTCCTGAACTCAAGTGATCTGCCCACCTCAGCCTCCCAAAGTGCCGGGAATTTTTTTGACACAGAGTCTCACTCTGTCGCCCAGACTGAAGTACAATGGCACCATCTTGGCTCACTGCAATCTCCGCCTCCCGGGTTCAAGCAATTCTGCTTCAGCCTCCCAAGCAGCTGGGACGACAGGCATTGAGACTCTGTCTCAAAAAAAATAATAAAATATAAATAAACAAACACTGACCAAAATATGTACCCAAATGCCTTCCTTGGCAAAGGGCTTTTCGGTTAAAACAGTGACTGAACACCTAATTCTTAAGGCTACTCTGTTCCATTCCTTGTAAATACCCACCTCTTTCTTGAATTGAGCATCTCCAAAGCTGACCTCACCAACAGCCTAGCCTCCAAACCAGTTCCTCTTCCACTGTCTCCCTTTGAGACAGCTCCATTCTGTCTTGAAGGCTCTCTGAGGATTTCCCTTTTCCCTTCCCATCTTTTTTCCACTGTCAGACAGCTCTTTCCTTGTTGATCAGCACCACAGCTTTCTCAGCCCTCATTCCCCACCCCACTCAGCCTGACTGTAAAAGCGTGTGTGTGAATTATGTGTTGAGCTAATAATTAAATATTACAGTGTTATTTTATTTATTATTTTTTGAGATGGAATCTCACTCTGTCGCCCAGGCTCGAGTGCAGTGGCGTAATCTTGGCTCACAGTAACCTCCACCTCCCGGGTTCAAGCGATTCTTGTATCTCAGCCTTCTGAATAGCTGGGATTACAGACGAGCACCACCACGCGGCTATTTTTTGCATTATTAGTAGAGATGGGATTTCACCACATTGGCCAGGCTGGTCTTGAACTCCTGGCCTCAGGTGACCCGCCCATCTAAGTC